GGGGGGGGGAGGGGCGGGGAGGTCGTCCTAAGTCTCCTGGTCTGTCACCCGCACTGTTGGAGACTAGTTGAACCCGATTTCCTTTTTGACGCACTCGGTCGTCAGAGAATCCTCGGGATCCTAGGGGTGTAGGTGGAAACTTGTTCTTATCATGTAGGGGCAAAGATGACCAGAGGTGACGGAGGGCTGAGAACCCGCTTGAGGAGGTTCAGGGGGAGATGGTAAGCCCCAGGGAAGCATCCCCAAGCAAGGGGCGAAGGAGCCTCCCAGAAAAAAACGTAGGCCCTCTTGAAGGACCCAGGGTGGTTTGCACCAGATGGCCCTGCAGGTGCGTGCCTCCCTCCTCCCGGGCGGTGGGATAGTGGGGTGCCTTCTCCAGGTCTCCCCTTCCGCTCACTGATCTGCTCCAGAGACGCCCGAGCCAGGGGAGCGAAAGACCTGACCCGGAGGTGGCAAGTTCGTAGAACGGCATCGTCCAGGCCCCGGGTTACCTGAGCGGTAGGAAGGCTCCGCGAGCTGGATGCACCGGAGCAGCACCAGCAGCCCCGCGGCGCAGCCGGGGGTGGTCCAGCGCTTCCTCATCCCGAGCCCCGAGGTTTCTGCTGCACTCCTCCGGTGAGCGGGGACCGCCTCACGGAGCCTTGGCCAAGACTTCAGGGGCGCTCAGTCCCCGCCCCTGCCGCCCTCGGCCAATCAGACCTGCATCTCCGGGTTCTTGAACCGACTGGATAGACCCGCGCTCTGGAGCAGTGGTGCGGATTTCCCGGACCCTCAGCAGACACCTGTGAGGGCTTGGGACTTTTAGACGTCGGAAGCGAGCCTCAGGAAAAGCACCTGGCATAAGGGCCCTGGCTCCGCCTCTTCATCAGCAAAGCTGGGGAGATGCGGACAAGTCGGGATGGCTCTGCCCCGATGAGTGGGCTCCATCAGTTTAGGAACGTGTCCTTGTGCCTAGGCACAGCAGTGAGAGATGACTTCATTCGGTGGCTGGGCTGGAAAAGCACACATTTATCATCCTACGTCATACTGAGGAAGTGTACATTTGAGCGTGTGGCATCTGTGACCAAGCCAAAGAATTCAGCTGGCCTTGGTAACAACGTGGGTATTTTGCTAGTACAAAGGTGGGGTAATGGCACACTGGGGATTGACCTGCAATTGTTAAACATTAAAAGTAACAATTATTCTAGTGACTGTATTGCTTATAAGACTTTTAATCATTTGAGCTTTGCCAGTAAGCTTTTTTTTTTAAAAAAATTATTTATTATTTTATATGTATGAGTATTGTGCAGTGCCTATGGAGGCAGGAAGAGGGCGTCGGATCTCCTGGAACTGGAGTTAAGGATAGTTGTTAGCTACCATGTGGGTGCTGGAAGTCCAACCTGGGGGGCTTCTGGAGTGATCTCTCCAGCCCCAAGTTCTTTTCTTAATAATCTAACAGTAATAACAATCCAGTTGAAATGTGGAAGTCTGCATTCAGAATCTGAAATTCAAGTCCCACCTTAGATAACACTATATCCAGCCTATGGATAACACAAATAGGCCAAATTCCACATGACCTAAGTTGCCTGGATGTGGTCTTAGATGTTTAAATTCCCATTTATTGAGTATAGGATGTATATTTGAGGTGGCCTCCATCTCTGTTCCCCGAAGGTGGCTGCTACCCTGAGGATGTGTCTAGGTTGACATTCTCAGTTCCAATTACCCAGGTGGCTCCAAACGTACCCTGGTCTGTCCTCTCTTCAAGCTCTGGGCTTTGCATTTTAGTGGATACAGAGAGAGCTTATCATCCTAGTAATGGGGCACTTTATGAGACAGGATTTGGAAACAACATCTCTGCCCTCTGGAGCTTATGGAGTTGTGGGGGAAGATGAGGCCCACACAGTAACCTGGGGCAAAATGCACAGGGACAAAGCTTCAAGAAAGATCAACTGGGACTTGAAAAAAGAGGTTAGAAATTTGACCAGGGATAGACAAAACAGGCAGAAAAATGCTAAGTGAGGTCAGAAGTGTAGTGAAACAGAGAGGAGAGATAAGGGGGAGGGAGGGAGGGAGGGAGAGAGAGAGAGAGAGAGAGAGAGAGAGAAGAGATGCTGCTTTGTGAATGGCAGCTTTCTTCTGTAAAGATCAGACAGCAGTAAGTTCTGAGTAACAGAACCTGCAACTGCCACTGGGTGCCCTACCCAACTTGGAGCTCCTTGAAGGCAGTGGCTGTCTTATTCATTATCTCCCCTATACTGAGCACAGGGCCTGTTCCAAAGTAAACTCTCAGGTATCTTGGTTTAGTTAGTGAATGAGTTCCTATAGGCCTTAGCCTAGGTACATATGGGCTCTCGCTTACATTATCTCATGCTGCAAATAATTTCTCAATTGTCATTTCTCAAGTGACCTCAGTTCCAACAATTAATATCCTTTCTGACAAAGGAGAGGACATGAGATCCTTCTACTCGGGTCTTTTCATTGCTATTTGTTTAGAGCAAGGGTTTTCAACTGAGAGTTCAAGGAAGTTGTGGACTGCTGGATTTGGGTGCTGCTCTATAAATGTACTTTTTACTTTGAGGAGAGGGGCTCAAGGTTGTCATGGGAGTTTCAAAGCCAATGACTCAAAAAAGAAGATTCCATCTTAGATAAGGCAAGTTTCAAGTCTTTCTGTGATATGAACTTTGCTTTGAACTCCCTTCTTATGTCACTACATGTTTCTAGCAACCTGTCGGCCATCTTGCCTTTTCCCATCTCCACCCAGGCTTCATATTCAGTGTTGCTTTTAAGAAAATGTGCTTGAGCTATGTCACTCAGCTTGGCACTGAACTCCCTTATAGGTGTGCAGCTCCATACCAGGTTTAGAGTATCCTCCTAACTCCTTGCCTTATTTCTACCCTTAAGTTCTCATCAGAATTCACATTAAAAATATTCTTAAAAAATTTTATTTTATGAATACGAGTGTATTGCATGTATGTAAGTGCACCCATGTCATTCAATGACTAGGGAGGTCAGAAGAAGGTGTCCGGTCCTCTGGAACTGGAGTTACAGATAGTTGTTAGCTGCCATGTGGGTGCTGGGAATCAAACCTTGGTTTTCTGCCAGAGTAGCTAGTGCTTTTAACCACTGAGTTATCTCTCCAGCTCCCCAGGATTCACCTTTTATGTAATCCTCTCTTAAGGGCCCCTGGGATTATTCCCTCTATATAACTGCATAATATTTGTGCATTCAGCTCAGTTGGCATCTGATGCTATTTGTTTCTTTGGGGACATGTACACTGGTAATCTACCTAGGTTACAAAACCTCAATAAATATTGTGAGTGGTGACACTAGAGAGCAGTATATCCTACAGGCCTCTCCTTCACTGTTATTTTCTTTAAGGACTATCTTTCTGGGCTGTGTGGTCCAGATGACTTTTCCTTGCAACAGGTTCCCAAGACACTCCATACCTTTTCCTGGCAGAATCCAGAACAGCTGGATTAGATGATTATGCCCCCTTCCCTCTCCCTCTCTCCTTCCCTCCCATCCTCCATCCCCCTCTCCCTCTTTCTTCCCTCCCTTCTTTTCCCTCTCCCTCCAGAATGTAACCTCCATGAAGACAGTGACAGTGCCTGCTTTATTGACTTCTATGTTCAAAGAATCTGGCATGGTTTACTATATGAATTAATGAATATATAGCAAATACCTCCTAAGACGATAGGCATCTAGGCTTTGAAAAGAGGGATAACTGGGTTTGGGTGGGAAGGATCTTTAGATGCTGGACTGGATGTGCTAAGATGACAGTGTTGAGTAGGTAGAGACAGTGGGAGGGATTCTTCAACCTGAGGCAGTGGTGAGATGGGAGTGGTCTGCAGAACCTCAGATGCCAGGCCACTGTGCTAACATTTCTCATATACTCTTTAGTATATTTAGTAATTATCCTATGAAGTAGGCACTCCCATTGCCCTCCTTTTATAGAATTAGAAACTAAGAAAGCATGGGGAGGACTGATAACAGGGCCAAGGTTAATAGTCATAAGTGAAGATACTATGGTGGCAATCTCAGTGAAGAATTGCATAGGTGTGTGCGATAACATTTAATAAAGTATAATAAAATATTCCTAGTAACAACTAGGGAGGATAAAAAAAATGAGCCCTTTGGGACTTCTAAAGTCATGGTTTTAATGCTAAAGTATGTCATACCTAAAAGTAGAGTAGCTATGCTGTGGGCTTCTTCTGGTCATGTCTACCTTACTCCCACACAGAGATAACCACTGAATTATTTGTCAGTCCTTTTCTTTATTTTAGTTGCTGGAGATTGAACTCAGGGCCTTACACATATTCAACAAGTGCTCAACCACTGAACTATACCCCAGCCAATGATTCCTTTTGTGATAGATTTTTTCTTTTATAACTTTTATTTTAATTTATTTATTTGGGCATGTGTGAGTATGCATATCTGGAGGTCAGAGGACAACTTGTGGGAGTTGGTTCTCTCCTTCCACCATGTGGGTTCTGGGGCTTGAACTCAGGTGGTCAGGTTTGGTAACAAGCGCCATTACCTCCTGAATTAGTCACTTTTCTGTTGCTGTGATAGAAACACTGACCCAAGCAATTTATAGAAAGAAGAGTTTGAGCTTACAATTCCAGGGGAATTACAGTACGTCATGGCTGGGAGCATGGTGGCTGGAGCAGGAACAGCAGAAACTAAGCCCTCATATCATCATGCAGGCACAGGAAGCAAGAGAACAAATAGAGATCTGGCAAGGCTTACGAACTCTCTAAGCCTGCCCCTAGTGATGTGCTTCCTCCAGGATAGCCACACCTTCTAAAACCTCCCAAAACAGCGCCACCATTTGGGGACAAAATGTCCAAATACTTGAAGCCTATGGGGGACATTTTCATTCAAACCACCACATTCTGCCCTCTGGCCCCCATAAGCTCAGGACCATATAAAATGAAAAATGCATTTAGCTCAACTTTAAAAGTCCCCATAGTCATTATCAGTCTCAATACTATTCAAAAGTCAACAGTCCAAAGTCTCTTCTGAGATTCACGTAAATATTTTAACTGTAAGCCTCTATAAAATCAAAAGACAAATTACATACTCCCAATATACAGTGCAACCAAATACACATAACCATTCCCAAAGGGAAGAATGGAGGCATAGTAAGGAAATACCAGACCAAAACAAGACTGAAAACCAGCAGGGAAAATACCAAATCCAGTAGCTCCATGTCCGATGACTCAGCCTCTCTAGCTTTGCTGCGTGCAACACACATCTCTCTCTTGTGTTGGTACCACTCCCTGTGTGCAGGTCTTCTTGGCAGATGCCTCACAGCTCTGGCATCATGGGCGTCTTCTTGGGGGTCTCCATTTCCAACCAGGCTTCACCTTCACAGCTTCACACAATGGCCTATCAGGGCCTTCTCTTTGCAGGGGAACCCCTAAGCTTCACACAATGACCTATCAGTGTCTTCTCTATGCAGGGGAGCCCCTACCACAGGCTGCCTGGCCTTCGAGGCTCTCTGACACCTCGGAGGAAGAATTGATGACCCCTTCACTCTTGCATCTTTCATGCCTCTAAAGCCAGCACCAGGTGAATGACACTGCCGAATTTCACTGCAGGTTTCGATGGACTCCAGTCTGCTTTATCCATTTTAGAAGCTTTTCTCTTCAGTGGCCCCTGCAGCATTTTTCTTTCATGAGTTGGAGTCTTAA